TTTACGCTGGAAGATCGCCAAAGGTCAAAGATCGCAGAAGGTCGTGGCAGCGAAGCGGCATGGGCATCGGGTTCGGCATCGAGTGCGTCGTCTTGGCCATTGGGACGTACGCCCTTCTGCATCACTACAAGGATGCGCAAGTCGGAGCGATTGTGTCGGGCACCGTCTTCTTTAGCTGGTACGTGGGCTTTCTTGGCCTTGTGCTGCTGCCATTGGACTTGACGACGACGGCGAGCGGCCAGGACAAGGCGTATCCGCTTTTGCTTACTGCGTGGCAGCTCGTATATTGGTTTACGTTTGTACTCAGCTGGGTCGTGCTGCCCATTCTGATCGAGTTTAGCCAAAGCGGCGCGTTCAGCACGGAGCAGCGCTTGCGGCTCTCGATCAAGTACCTGCTGCGGCACTACGCAGTGCTGCTCACACTCGGGTTTGTCCTCTTCTTGTACCTTGTCGTGGTCGACCATTTCACGATTGGCGGTGTCCTTGGCCTCGTCATGACGCTCGGCAACACGTACGGTCTCCTCTGGATCATCTGCCTCCTCGGGTACGGCCTCATCAACATCCCGCGCAAAGTCTACGCGTACAGCGACCCGTCGCTGCGCTTGCGCCAGCTCTACTTTCGAGCGATCCACGTCCACGACGAGCGTGTCGAAGCGCAGTTTGTCTATGACGACGTCGTGCGCGAGGTGCGCCAGCTTGCGGCGCGCTTCCGGACGATCGAAGCCGCCACGATCATCGTATCGCCCGACTTTCAGTACATCAAGCAGTGCATCGACCACCTTATGGGGACCATCGGACTCGACACCGACGTCGAAGCGGCCAAGCCACTCAAGCGACAGACTCGGTCCAGCTACCGGTCGCTGCCCGGGCCTGCCCTGGACGACACGCTACCGACCGAGAAGGAAATCATCCATTTAAATGGGCGCGCCAAGCGTGTCCAAGCCGACCTTCGGCGCTGCGACCAGACGTGGATCGATCTGTGCTACGACGGCCAGCAGCTCCAGCTCGCAGCCCGGTCGCCCTCGCCTCTCGTGCCACTGTTGGCCAAAACGCTCACGTGCATCTGTGTCCTCGGGTCTGCTGTCATCATGTGGAGCGAAGTCGTCATGGGCGGCGCCGAGTGGCTCTCGCCGCTCCGGCTGCTACTGGCGTCGGCCGCCTCGACGCACATTCTGGTCATTGGCCTCCTGCTCTACATGGGTCTCTGCACGTACCAGAGTCTCTTTTCGATGCGTGGGTTTGGGCGACTCGCGCTGCACGGCAACCACAACTCGACCGAGCTAAGTCTCCTCACGACATCGGTGCACCAGAGCCGGCTTCAGTTTTCGCTCGGGTACAACTTTCTGCTGCTACTGAATGCGTCGACGCTCACGTCGCGCACGGCGTTCCATGCGCTCTTCACCGACATGCGGCTCATCCACTTTTTCGGTACCGACTTTAGTATGTATGCGCCGACGCTCCTTCTCGTCCTCGCGGTTTGTACGCTGCTGAACGGGTACGCGCGCCTCGTCCGGTACCTCGGCTTGGACCAGTACGAAGAGCTGCTGCATGGACACGTCGAGCACGAGGCCAAAGTCCACCAAGGCGAGGCGCTTGTCCAGCGCGGGATTGAAAAATATGCGCGGCAGTGGGCAACCAAGGCGGCGGCGACGGGCTCGGAGCTCGCGGCGCCGCTTCTCGCTGCCAACGAGTGAGCGTTATTTCTCTATACACAAGCTTTTTTACGTGTTGCAGCATGCTCGATCCGGAGCTCTTCGGAGCCGCCTCACTACATGTCTATGAGACCACGCGACCGACGATGGCTGGACGAGTTGTCCAAATTTGCTTACGAGTCCATAGTGTCCTCGAGGGCGTGAAGCTGTGACCGCTTCGGCACCAAGAACAATCAAAACGTACTGGACAGAGAGAGGCCGTACTCCATAAACACCGAGTAGTGTACTACTGCAAAGCAAGAATGACAGTGGCAGCTAGGTACGTCTACTGACTGCTGCCAAAGGCTGTGCAGTCTCCCATCACCGAGCTTCTCCCGTGGGACTCAACATGCAAACCCACCTCGCCTTGTCCCGACCTAGATGGCTAGGTTCGTACTCTGTGCCCCATCACTAAGCTTAGCCGTGAATGATGATAATGGCGAACCACATTGCCCGTGTGGTAGCGGGGTTTCTATCAATTTATCAAGTGGGTCGGGATACAGACGCACCACTATGCTTTTGCAAAGCCGACAATACACGTTGTTTGCGACGGGTATTGTTGTGTTTGTTTAGCCACTGTTGGTGTACCCACCCGCTTTGCCCATGGCGACTAAGGTCGCGCCTTGGTTTGTCGTCATGTCGGCCGACGCTGTCCAGAGCATCGCGCCGCCGTACTGGGCCGCGCCTTGCGACGCATACGCACTGAGTTGCGTGCTCGTTGGCGCCGCGCCAAACGCACAGCCGCCGAGTGTCCCGACAGGGCCGACACAGCCACCGAGAATAATTTGCATCGGATTGACCGTCTTGGTCCACAGCGTCGGTGTCGTTGTCGTCAAGTACGTGTCGTAGTCGGTCTAGTCGGTCCAAGATTGAGGCACTCTGTCGTTAGGAAGGATAGCACTGCTGGACGTACGGACGACGCGGCGTTGTACATCATGAGATTCACATGGTCGACGATACCCGCGATGCGCGGATCAAAGCAGCGCTGAAAGTCCCCCGTCGGTGTGTTGCAGTCGGGGTTGAGCGACGTCGGGAACTCGTCCCACGTGATTTGGTACGCAGGCTCGGTGGCTGCGCGTGGCAAACTGCCCAGCTGCGTCTTGAGGGCGGTGAGGTACGCGACGACGCTGGGCGCGACGTTCGCCTTCCAGTCGCCGGCCGCGAGGAGGTTGCCACTTTCGTCGTCAATGTCGACACCGTCAAAGCCAAACCTACGAGCAACTTCGTATCGCCGTGTCGTGGAGAGGCTAAACACACGCACTTTTGAACCACTTGGGCTGCGGTGGACGCAAACGTGGCGATCTGCGCGGTCGAGTTGAGCGCGACGAACGTCTGGCGCATGGTCGCGCCGCCAATGCTAATGTAGTTTTTGATGCATTTTCTAGAGACATAGCGATGGTGGTGAGGCCACAAGTAGAGGAAATTGTCGTGCAGTACGCGCGGGTCTGCGCCAAGCAGGCTTTGAGCGTCGCGTCCGAGCCCTGGAACGAGCTGCTCACGGTGCCCGAGGCTGCGTCAATGAGCGCAAAGCTCCAGTAAATATGGGTCACGTAAGCCGCGGCGCTGCTGGAGGCAAACTAAGCACGAGAAACATGCAGCTGGAAACGCACGTAGAAGGAAACGGTACCGACGAGCAGTCGACTTGGGATTCCCAAAACACGCCAAACGTCTTCTTCGGCGCGGGGCAGCTCACGCAGCTGTTGCCAACGAGGTGCGTGCCCCGGTTGGGGCAAGACCCGTCGGCCGACGTTGGGCTCGGTGATGCTGCTTTGGTGCTCGGCGTCGGCTTGGGGGTTGGCGCCAGTGTCACACTCGGTGTCGGCGCTGTGAGCGCGTCCGAGCCCGTGGTCACCGCCTGGTTGTTGTCGGGGTTAAAGGTGCCCACGGCAGCGAGAATGCCCACGATAAGCCCGGCCATCGCGAGCACTGTTGACTGCGATGAGATGCGAAGGTGGAATTGCTATTGCCGCGTACCTGGCAGCGCGGCGCGGCGAAGGCACAACGCGGACAATTGCGACTCGCGCGGCGGCAGTACGGCAGGGTCGTCGTCGTCGAGGGGTGTGGCGCGCCCACTCGTGTTGTGCAGAGGCGACGCGAGGCGTGCAAAATCGGCGCGGGGTGTGGTCATGGACGTTGTGAAGGCAAGCGAATCTGCCGTTTGAAGCTAAGTTTAGCAAGCGCGTGTTCGACAATGCGAGCAATGATGATGCCAAGGAGAAAAGGACTGGCGCGCCCGTGCGCCAAGATCTTACCGTTGTCGTGTCGCAGCGTCGCAAAGGCTAGTTTCACCCAACCACGACTCCGCGCCAAAAATTTGAATGCGCCAGCAGCAGGTATTGCCATCGCATGGGCTTGTCTTGTCCCGTGGTTGATCCGGCCTACGTGGGAGCGTCTGCCTACTAGCTCCGAGTCGACAAATCTCGAGGTCGAACGGGCAACGCTGCGTGGATTCGTGTCCATATCGAAGCAGCTCCAATGACATTGCAACACCCACCGCAAATATATGGGCACCCGCGTGTCGCGGCTGCGGTCTACGAGCGACCGAGCGATGCGAGTGAGCGTACTACTGGTAGTATCCAACACTGGAGCGACGATGACCGCAACAGCTTGCGATGGCGACCGCCTAACGGGACTGGTTTGCTTCCGGACTTCCACACGGGACCAGGCGAGATTGCATTGGCCAAGAAAAGCACTGGGCGCAGGTCACCACGCGCCTAGCGCCCTACTACAGTACTGCATGCCGCAAGCGTGTCCTCGGGTCCACGCGGCTACTCGTCAAGGTCTCTCCAGTCCACCGCTCGGTCGCCAGGCGAACCTTCAAATGGTATCGATATTAGAGCATCTATGCGGGTGGCGAGTACCGGTATAACGAGGCAGGTCGACTGGCAGGTCGGCGGCGGCGATCAGTCGATGCGCTCTCCATGTAGCAAGCGGCGAGCGGGCCGGAAACCTCTTGAGGTTTGTATGGCATACGTTTCGAGCACCTTCAAACTGGCATCCCGCATAATAATAAAATAAAATAAACAGTTTGGTTGTCCAAGATATAGACCGACGCGCACGATGGCGACGACGACGACGCTGCCGCCCCCGCCGTACATGCTCGGCGAGCGCCCGGCGCCCTTCCACGCCGGCGACGGAAGCGTCACGTTCCGTCAAGTACCGTACGTGAGCGTCCACGCGCGCATCGAGAAGGGCACCGCGGTCCGGAGGCACCTCAAAAAGTACCTCGAGTCGAGCAGTCACTCGCACTCGATGATGGCCCACGCCTTTCTCAGCGACGCCCACGTGGCCTCGATGCAACCGGAAGAGATCTCCAAGTCCTCGATGGACGACGTCTTCCGCTGCCTCCAGCGCTACAACCACACGGTCGGGACCAAGTCCATGGAGGTCGCCAAGGCGCTCTCGCAGCTCGCGTCGCCGCTCGACAACGCGGGCCGCGTCAAAAAGTGGAACAAGGACAACTACAACATCGTACGACCTCCTCGCATGCTAGCATTCGACCGACGATGATCCTGTCTAGATCCAAAAATGCGTCCAGGACGTGGCCGCGGCAGAGAAGCGCATGGTACACTCGGCTGCGAACACGACAGTGTACTAAAGAGCATGTTGTAGGAGCGCGCAATCGCGCGGCGAGACAAGGCGATCGAAGACCACGCCCACTGGAAGCGCATCTGCGAGATGAACGCCGGCGCCGTGGCCATGCAGCCCAACAACGCCGACTGCCAACGCGCACTGTCCGTCTCCCAAGGTACCGTCGACCTCCAAAGAAGCTTCTTGCAGGACCATGATCCATAGCCAAGGCCAGTGTCGCCGCCGAGGAAGAGCGCATGGGCCTCGAAGAGTACGAAGACTGCAAGAACGCTCTCCACTCAGCCATCGAGCACCGCGACGACATCGTCGAAGAGTCCACCGACGCGTCGCAGATGATGGAAGAAGACCGGCTCGAAACCATGGTGCTCATCCTGCAGCAGTTTGTCCAAGTGAGCACGCAACGCCATTACATGACTCATCGTGCGTTAGGTCAAGCAGTCGGCGCTGGCCGCGGAAATGGAGAGTCTGCGCGACCTTGCGCGCATGGTGTCGGCGACCGACCGGTCTGCGACGATCCAGCAGTATATTCTGGACCACATGCAGCCCGACATTACGCACCGGCACTCGAAAGCACTCTTCCTCCTCGAGTGGCACTGGAAATGGCATCTTGAGCGCATCGAGCTCGCGCGCAACGAGCCGGACGACTACCTCGCGCTCGAGTCGGACGCTTTGTATGAGGATGTCCGTTTCTTATTCTCTGGATCTTAGTGGTGGTACTAGGCCGTGTCTGCAGGCGAGTGGCATGACCGTCCACGACGTCGAGGTCATGAAGGACTTCATTGCGTGCTGCTTTGTCGAGCCCGACCTCTCGCGCATGATGTTGGATCCGACCAAAGTCTCGACGCGGCACCGGCGGCGGTTCGTCGACCCCAAGTCCAAGGCCCTCTACCGCATGGACACGGTGCGCAAGGTGCTTGTGGCGGCACTCAACCACCAACGCACGCACTCGCTCACGCTCTCGGTCCGTGCAACCTTCGATGATTTCGCATTTTTGAAACATTGAAACATTGATATTAATGTGGCAACATGACCATGTAGGCGCAGGGCTACGAAGCACTTGTGGCGTCGATGAACCTCCTCTTGCACGGTTGCATGGACCGCGGCGACACCAAGTGCGCCAAGAGCGTCATGAACATGGCGCAGACGTTCTATCGCGTCGAAGTGGACGGGAACACGCAACAGTACCTCCTCGACGGCGTCGTGCACCACCCGATTTGGCAAACCGCCCATTTCTGGGGCGACGCTGTACGTCCCGAGCCGTATGTGACACCGTTCGACTCTGCATAGGTTCTCATGAGCATTGGCGAAGAGCTGAGCCGGAACCCGATGGAGACGCCGTGGCACTACTGGCCGCCCGCCAAGCGCGCGTCGCTCGTGCTCTCGGTGCACAATACGGTCTTTGGCCAGCTCTCGACGTACCTCTACAACATGGCGGCGTTCAAGATGTCCAAACACCAGATCATGCAGTTCGTCCAGAACGTGGCGTTTTCGTTCGAGCTCAGCGAAGACCAGCGCATCATGCTGCTCGCGAGCGCCAACGGGCTCGACACGGCGGCGTCGTCCGACGCCTTGGCCCTCGAGGGCGGCGACGCGGCCATGTTTACGACTGCAATCTTTCCCGAATGGCGCAAGCGCGCGCCGCCCGGACGGACGCCGTTGCAGAAGATGCGCCGCGGGCTCTCCAAGATCAAGGGCATCTTCGACCAAGACTCGGCCGCGCAAGCTGCTTCGACCCAAGCGCTGCTCGCCAACGCCCAAGTACGTTGCTTATAGCATGTAGAATAGCAGCGTCGAGCTGTGAACGTAGAAGACGAGCGAAGTGTGGGAAAGCCTCTTTGGCGACGACCCGAAGAAGGCGCTGCCGCCGAGCGACGCGATCGAGTTGACATCGAACGCGCACGCGCTCTCGACGCCGTCGCTTGCCCGCGTCGAGAGCGAAGACGAAGGCAGGAGCAGCCGGGTTCGACGAGACGACGAGATGCGCCGGCGCGACAGTCGTCGGGGCCGACCACAGAGCACCAACAACTTGCACGAGTTACTGCAGGCCGAGGCCAACTCGGACACGAGCAGCATGGCGCCGTCAACCTCGCCGTGGATGCCGTCGGCGCGGAAGAAGACCCGGCCGGCCAGCGAGCGCTTTGCCCACGACGAGCGGTTCAACGACACGACGCTACTGCTGCCGTCGGCAGCACCCGCGTCCGTGCCGGTGCTGCATCACCGTGAGAGCGTCGATGCGACGCCCGCCCCCAAGAGCTACGATGCGCTGTCGGGCGTTGCGGCCATACGAGCGCGGTTCGAGAAGCGCGGGTCGTCCTAGTATCGCTCGTCGGCTTCATCCACAACGCTGGCGACAAGACGGTGGGTGAGGCCGATGAGGATGAGTTTGATGAAGGGAATGGTCGTGTGTGCGTAGTTGTTGTAAGCTTAATGGGCGTTGTCTACTTGGTCGTCTTGCCAATGTACTTGGTGGGCATGCTAAACGCGGTGGCGCCGGCGCCGTACTGGAAGAGGCGGCCGCAGACGGGCATGACGTCCCACTTGAGCTTCAGAGTCACGTCGGCGCCGCGGAGCTCGTCGTGCTGGTCGGCAAGAAAATACTTGACGCCTTCGTCGGTCCGGCGTAGCATCGCGTCGTCCTTGGTCGGGACGATCGCGTCCCAGATGACCACCTCGTTCTTGGCGTTGGACGCGCTTGCATACTCGGCAACAATGTACACAAATAGCTGCTTCGTGTTCCAGTTGAAGACCGAGCGCAGATCCGCGTCCAAGTCGAACGAGAGCACGGCCTTCTCGGTGCGGTCGCGGTACTTCTTGAGCGAGTGCACCGTGTTGAGCGAGAGCGTGTTGATGACCGGCGACGGCTCGTGGAGGTACGTGGTCAGCGTCGTCAGCGCGCACATGATGGACATGGCGGTCATCGCGAGCGTGAAGAGCGCGTTCGCCCGCGTCCAGATCGTATGCATGCTCGTCTCTCGATCGCTCGCAAGCCCAACTGCGGTCGCCCACGTGGCCCGTACATCCGGATACCGTGCCAGGTCATCCGGTTAACCGCGCCACCTGCGGTTTCAAAGACTTGCCGCACGCCATTTTACCACAGGATCGCGATCCGAGAATCGTCGGCAAGTTGGGTGTTTTTCGATCGTTCGGTTTCAGCACAGCGAATATGGTCAAGTCCAACGACAGGCCGGTCACCGACTGGGTGGATGCAAGTCCCATCTCGATGCAAGCCACAGGCATGGAGGCGGCAACACGCATGGAGGGATCTCGGCTGGTAGACCACGTCGCCGCTCGGCGTCGACTGTCGCCGTGGATGCGCGAGCTCGTAGGCACGAGCTGGGCGTGATGGCTACATGAGGCGCCAAGCGTAGGTCCTGCTACTCGCCTCTGGCGACGTGACTGCAGACGTGGTTTTGCGCACCATCGATGTACTCTTTGTCGAGCGCCGAACGACCATGTCCAACGCGCGACGTAGGTGGAGGTCGCGACGACCGTCCCTCTTGTGCCATCAACTGCAACGTCGCCGGTCTTTATCGCCCTGCAAGAGCTGCTCTTCGCTTCCGTATCGGGCCATGTTCATCTATTGTATGCATACAAGCCTTGTAGATCGGTCAGCGCTGGGCCCCCGAGCTGCTCTGGAGAGGCCTCGTCTGGCCTCTAACGACAACGATGGTGCCACCCGCAGTCCGCAAGGAGCTGCAGGCGCTGATACACGCCCACGGCTGCACCGTCCTTCTCCCTCTCTTGCTCGTAGCGTCAACCTTGCGTTCTATAGCCTCTTCACACTAACCTCTAGTCTGTCCTTGGTGCCCTTGGCATCTCGTCGGCGCCGCCGACGTCCGATGACCTCGATGGGCTCCTGGAGACGCGCGCTAACGTACGAGACTTCAACGCATCTGCCTACAATAAGGTCTTAGGTTGCTATCCTGCGCGTTAGGCGCATCCACTGCAGTGGGCCATTATCTGTGCCGCATTGCCTCGAAGCCGCCAGGTCCAGCAGCAGTACCGCGCTTGCTACGTCGCAGCCTGCGATCACACCTTTCACGTATGCACCGTCGACCGCTCTCACGTTATACCAAGTGTCTAGCGCTACAAGACCGTTGGCGAAGTGCAGCGCTACCGCTACGTGGGCTTTGACGTCGACGGAACGTTGGTGCAATATCGCACGGAGCGCATCCTCCGCGACTCGCTTGCTGCCATTGCGCGCCGCCTTTTGCTAGTACAATGCGCCGATAGATCTATACCATTAGTCACGGGTAGGTCTACCCGACGCTGCAAGGCGTGTGGCCGCCACGATGGCTTCCCGCCCTCGCCCAGCGCTCTGTCGCAATCGACGTGGATGCAGGTGATTTCATTGTCCTCGGAGACGACGGCAGCTCGATCCTCGGCGCCTTCCACGGCTCGCGCGAGCTCGTCGATATCAACAACCTGCGCTTCTCGACACTGGTATACATGCACACGCTGCACGACGTGGTGTTCGCCCCGCTCTTTGCGTGGCTTGTCGACGCCGTGGACAGTGGCCACGTACTGTATCCTCCAGCAGCTTCTCCTCATGCGGCGGTAGCTCTCGAAAGCGTCCCTGACGTACGCGTCGCTGGCCAGCAGCGTCCGGCTCGTGGCCTACCAGTACAACGCCCAAGAATTCGAGGTACTCGACTTGGTCACACACATGTACGCTGAGAAGGGTGGTAGCCCGCCCTTGTCGCGACGCCAGCAAAGTACATCGTTGTGGCCAAAGCCACGGCCGCGATCATCAAGCAGCTTGCGACGCGCCACACGCTCTTTCTCATCACCAACGGGACATGGGAGCATGCGAACCACGTGCTCACTTTCGCGCTGGGCGGCGCGTGGGAGCAACATTTCGCGCTAGTCGTCACCGAAGCGAGAAAAGACTCATTCTTCACCTCACGACAACCTACGAGACCCTTTCAGGTATGTTGAGAGTGCCATTTGGTGCTTAGTTAAGCCTGGCGATGGCGTAGCACCTGCGGCCGGATGGCAACCGCTGTCCGGCACCGAGCCCGTTACCTCTGAGTGGTCGCTACTGTGGTGGCCATGCGAGCAGTCTGCACGCTGCATTCGGTGTTGCCCCGAATCAAGTAGCGTACGCCCTGTAAGCTGCAGACCTTTCGAGGTGGTAGGTATGCTATGTGGGCGACCACCCCGTTCAAGACGTCGAGCTGCCCCGTGCGTGCGTTGGCTGGGACACGATCGCGCTCCTTGAGGAGCTGCGCCCGTATGTACGCTCCTGCTGGCTGCCATATGCGCCCTATCCGAGATGAGGTAGAAACAAGAGCCGGCGCGATGGTCTTGGCTCTGTCGCCGGCATAAGACCGCGCCGGACCCGGCGACGCCACACCAGCTGTGCTACGTGCGCGACGTCCAAAGCGCCGTGGGCGCGCGCCTTCTCGCGTCCAGCGTCATGTGTATCGGTTCGATTGACGAGTTACGACGGTATGTCTAACGAGATATGGTCGTTTACTTGGTGAGTTCCTTGTTCATAAACTTTCGCTTCGCAAAGAGCATCCACCACTTGCTTCGCGAGCCGTCGACGTACACGAGCTCGATGAGGCGCATCGCGAGGGTTTCGCGGAGCTGCTTGAGGTACCCGCGCGTCGTCTCGCCCTCGGCCATGTTGGCGGCCATCTTGACCATGCCGCCGAGCGGGAAGCTCGACTCGCCGGGAATCGCAAAGCTGTCGGCTGCGACCTGCGACAGCTGGCGCTGCGCATCCGACTTGGAGCTGCAGCGCTCGAGGCGCTTGAGGCACATGTGCGTAAAGAGCGTGCCATAGACAAGGACACGGTCGGCGGCACCCTTGATCTCGTAGTTGGTGAAGAGCACGTTCGCCCGGAAGAGCGTCAAGATCTCGTCGACAATGTCTTCCTGGTCCTCGGGGCATGGCGGTGCGGGCCCGCGGGTGCGACTCTTGAGCGGCAGAAGCGCGAAGCCGCAGGCCTCGGCGCATGGCAGCTCGTTGTACGCGGAATGATACGCTGGCATGATGGCAGCCTCTTGCAAGATGACGGAAGGAAGCGGCGAGCGCCGAATTAAAATACCGTGGCATCACAACTTGCTGTTTGTATGTATTTTAAAAACCGCGTCCATCGACCCCAGGGCTTGGTCGCACTTAAGGGAGTAAAGCGTTTCGTCCGGATAAAGATTTAAGAGCGACTAACTAAACACATGGCTAGTCGATTGATAGAAATAGGTCGTGGACGGTTTAGTCGATGAAGCCCAGCGAGCTCTCGCGGTAGCATGCCCCATGCACTGCTCCAAGTCGACCTCTTGCACCTCATTGCGCGGTACCTACCGACGCGCGATGCGTTCCTGTCGTTCATACGCGCCCTGCCACACGACTGCTTGGGCTACCCGCTCCAGTGCTGGCGCGAGCTATCGACGCGCATGCCACTGGACGAGCTCTGGCCGCGGCTCCAGCTGCCCGCGCGCCTGCGAGACGACGACATTGCGCTCTTCCGCGGTGCGTCGCTTGTCTTTTCACATGTTGTCCTCTCGCAGCCGTTCGACCTCGCGCTCTTGCGGCGCTGTGTCCAGCCACACGCGCAGCTCCAGCTGCTCGCGTCGAGCCTTCCGCCCGCGCCGACGCCCGCCTGGTACAATGCGCTCGCAACGTTCTCCATCGCGTCCTTGCAAGGTGCTCGCCGCAGCTGCGACGGCCTCGCATCGGCGCTGCCGTTGTTCGACGCTCTCTGTGCACTTGACCTTGGCCGCACCGAGCCCATGACCAAGAAGCAGCAAGGCCACTTGGTGACCGCGCTCGAGACGGCGCTTCCGGCCCTCTTGTCGCTGCGATTGCGCCATGACGAGCTAGCAAAGGAAACACTCGGCGCATTGACGGCCTGGATCGCGACGCGTCCCGTACGTGGCGTGGGGCTTGTGGGCTCTGGCGACGCCGCGCCGCGCGCACTGTGCGCCGCACTGCACGCCAGCAATACACTGCACGTACTTGATGTCGAACAGAGTCCATTGGGGCTCAAGATCTGCCGCGACGTATCGCCCGGCCATTGGCCGACCTTGACGGTCCTTCGACTCTCCGCGTGCGCGCTCACGGCCCGCAACGTCAAGAAGCTTTTGCCGGGTCTTCCGACGCAGTCACTTCGCAAGCTCGACCTGTCGGACAACCCATTGGCGACAAGGGCCTCCAGCTGCTCCTCGAGTGGCTGCCAGCGAGCAGCGTGCACTACTTGCACTTGGCCAACGCGGGGTTGACGCCCAAGGGACTCTTGGCACTCGCTTCGATGCTGCGCCGGCCCTCGCGCCTCACGACGTTGTACTTGGAGAACGAGGCCATCGACGATCGGAGCCTCGCGCGGTTTGTGAAGCTCATTGCGCAGTCGCCGACGTTGCAGTATGTAGCGCTGTGGCACATGGTCGTCGGCGTTGAGAGCGCCATGGACATGGTCGAAGCGCTCTACCACAACCAGAAGCTCGAGGTCGTGCTCTTGGGCTCGAGCGCACTCTCGGCCCGCGCTGCGCAGATCGTCGACTCGTGCTACGGCGTGCGTGCGACGCGCTTCTTTGTTACGGCGCCGCCGCTCGCGTCCACGCCGCTAAACATTCCTGTTCTGCAAGCGGCGCTGGACAGTGCAGTGAACCAACGCAAGCGGTCACTGCCGTCGTGTGCGTGGGCCCACGACTAAACGACTAAAGTACATGTAGGTACTAGTACTCGATAGACCATAGGAATAAGCGGTTGTGTCTCGATCTGCCCGCGATGGTGAGCTCCTATCAGTGCCATTCGCCCGACGTCGCGCTCTATGCTGTCGGTGCAACAGAGCTATCGACGATGCCATTGCTGGCCTGTTCTGTACAGCGGTAGAGCTGTAGAATAGGACCAAACTCCGTCCGTCCGTCGGTCCATCACGCAGCGCCGGCGTGTACGCAGACCAGAGGCAGCGCCAAGAAGCGACCGCTCTCCGCTTTCACGGCGCGCGGTCAAGTCGACTGCCGTCCAGCGTAGCCAAAGACACCTGGGCATGGCATCAGGGTTAGGGTACGACGCCTGCGATGTCGGTTGTCGGCGAATCGGACCCCGATGTACTTGAATGAATCCCTAAGCCAGTGGCTTTGCGTCGCTCTTCTATGATTGGTTATGACACGCTCGATCACAACACAATGTTGTCAATAAGGCGGCACGCGCCGACCTTGACGGCCACCGAGATCACGGCGCCTTGTGTCGTGTCGACGTCCACAAGCTCTTCCATGGTCGCTTTCGAGCCAATCGAAATGTACTGGATCTCGCCCACGAGCGGCTCCGTGCGGTAGATGCGCTCAATCGTCGCGCGGAGCGTCGCCGCCGGCAAAGTCGCTGTCGTCGCCGCGTCAAAGTCGGCTTTGGCCTGGCGCAGACCAGCGTAGAGAATGCTGGACGCGACACGCTCGTCGGGCGAGAGGTACTGGTTGCGCGTCGACATGGCGAGACCGTCGTCTTCCCGCATCGTGTCCATCACGCGAAGCGTGATCGGAAAGTTGAGGTCTTCGATGAGCCGCTTGATGACGACACATTGCACCGCGTCCTTTTGCCCAAAGAACGCGTGCGTCGGAGACACGATGTTGAAGAGCTTGGCGACGACCGTCGCGACGCCGCGGAAGAAGCCGGGCCGGCACTGGCCTTCGGGCACGTCGTCAAAGCCAACGGGATCGACATACGACCTACAGGCGACACGTGGACATGAAGTGCGTGGGCGCGGACGGAAGGCTAGTACCGGTGGTCGGGCAGATACATGGTGGCTGTCGTCGGCGCAAAGACGATGTCGACGCCCTGCTCCCGCAGCTTGGCCATGTCGGCTTCAAACGTGCGCGGGTACTTGTCGAAATCTTCATTCGGGCCAAACTGCGCCGGGTTCACAAACACACTCGAGACGACGACGTCGCACGTGGCCTTGGCCTCGGCAATGAGCGACATGTGCCCGGCGTGGAGGCCCTACGACGCGGCTACGTTCATGCCCACGCAGGTCCTCGTCACCGCGTACCCCCATGGTCGGGACAAAGCCGACAGTCGCGCCCGCTGGCACCGCAGCCCTCGCCTGGCGGAAGGACGCAATGTCTTCGCAGATTTGCATCGTCGATGCGCGGCGCGTGGCAAGGCGCGAGGCCATGCGCGCAGTCATCTTGGTCAGCATCGTCATCGCTCCGGACGAAACTGCATCAAATGTGTGGTGCGTTTGGCATGCCACAAAGAGGACCACATTGCCGATTGGTGACGAAAAGGGGTACAACCCACTTTCAACAGCGTGCAGCTCTCGCCCCAGCGAATGCAGTCCGTAGCCCAAGCACCGTAGCCCCAGCGATATATACCGGTATACGATCTTATAGCTGATCGTCGTGGCTGCCGTGTTTTTTCGTTGAACGAGCGCCGCGTCCGGATATGCATCGAGGACATGGCGTTGGGAGCGCCCTTTGCTCGTTGCAGCGTGAAGGGTTGAACGACGACTACCAGACCAGTTCCAATACTACCTATTTACCAGTAGTCCTGAATCCAGTCACCTCGCTCAAGTCTCTTGCCATATTTTGGGACCTCGCCTTGGCCTCTCGCTCGACTTTCAACGATCACCAAGATCATGCCGCTGAGTCCGACGCTTGCAACTTCAACCAGAAACGTTTGTTCGAAGGCGGCGGTTGGCTGCTTGGATCGCGACCGAGATGAGACCTCTCGGAAGACGACGAACAAAAGGCGTCAAGGTATAGTATGCAGCGTCGTCTTGCTGCGTGGAAGATGCGAGAACGCAACTTGCGAGCGACTGCAGTGTCCCACGGAGGACGGAGACACACGTCGCAGCCCCAGTCGGTTGAAGTTACACTGTACGACGACGTTGTCATTTTTCACCATTTCCCACCGTGTGCATCGCGTCGTCCATTTTTTGTAAAATAGCAAATTGGATTTCGCCGAATTCGGCACGGAAGCATGGACCGTCATAACACATAGGAATACCAAAAGACTGGACATTGTCCCACAGAGTCGCGTCTCTCAGGCAATATATCAAGGCGAGAGCGAGCAACCACGGGCTTGCAACATTTATATCATTCTTTATCGTTTCGGGCGTGCGCTGGTGCGGGTTCGTTGCGTCAACAGTGGCTCTCAACAGTGGCCAATGCAGTATCCTTGCTTTGGGGGCTTAGAACCAGGAACGAGAGAAACGACTACGAAAGTTGTTGAATCCGCCGTACTAACGTTAGTAGTAAACAAGTGTCGGTAGCGCACGTCGTTGGTGCGGCTACAGACAGTTGTTGACGTCGCTTCTCGGCACGACATTCCATGCTCCATGCAATCTTGATGCTCAGGATCTGCGGAAGCAAGACGCGGGATGAGATCGGGTTGATTGGCGTCCTTGATTTGCCTTGGTCGTTTTCAAATTTTCGCAGCGCATTTCGATCCGGAATAGTTTCCCACGTGGATTTATCACGTGCGTTTTTCACGTCCGAATTTCAGCAAATCAAAAGCGTTTGCAACATTAGAGGAGCGTTTTGGCATTTTCGCTCCAGCCACCAAGCAGCAGGAGCAGCATGTTTGGCGGCGAGTTCACCAAGGTCAAGGCCATCGCGAGCCTCCGGCCGGCCGACCACATCGCGGTGTGGGACCTCAGCCGATGGCCCATCAAGTACCAGCACCATGGCATCGTCTGGGCGGCCGGCGACTCGGAGGACACGGTGCAGATCTGCCACGTGTGGAGCCCACTCGTGGGCTACCGCGAGGCGCAGGCCGACTCGTGCTTCCGCATCTCAACGCTGCGCGAGTTCCTCTACAACCGGTCGCTCTCGAGCCTCCGCGTCGTCGAGTACCACACGAGTAGCCTCCGCGAGCTCCTCTCCAAGTGGGGCGAAGTCCATTACACGCGCGCGGACCTGCCCGAGGTCATTCTTGCGCGCTGCAAGTTTCTCATGGGCCTTGGCAAAGGCGAGTTCAACATCTTCAAGCAGAACTGCGAGCACGCAGCCCACTGGTGCATGACGGGCGAGCAGTGGTGCAAGCAAAACCTCACGCGCGCCAAGGGCCGCGTGCCCTTTGAACACATGGTGTCACCCGAGCAAGTGACCGCGCTTGACGACGAGATTGACGCGATCAAGATGATCTCCAAGAGCGTTGTCGACAAGACGCTCGCGCTCAATGGCCAGTCCGTCTACCTCCGCGTCCTCGGCGCGACCGAGGCGTTCCTGACCATCCTCCCGAACGGGTACCTTGGCGTGACCGACTCGCGCGAAAACGCGTCGGCCTTTACTGTCAGCACGTCCTCCAAGATGTACAACTCGATGAAGGTGAGCTTCCAAGTCGGCGGCAAGCACATGTACAGCCGCAGCACGATCTCGTGCTACCGCCAGATCCACATGAAGAAGTACAACTTCTGGCGCGGCCGCCCCGGCATGACGTGGGAGCTCTCGTCGAACGGGTACATGAAGAGCATGAACCAGCACCGCCGGTACATTGGTCTGCGCTCCGACAACATCTTGGTCGACGTGAGCATGCGCGGGGACGCGGCGCGCTTGGAGCTTGTGCCGCTCGACGATTCGCAAGCCGCGCCGGCGCCCTACGACGCGCAGATCCGTAAGCTGCCATCGTCCAAGGCATTTGAGCTCGCGGTGCATAAGTCGATGCGCAACCTCGAGGCGCGCCGGAGCGGTCGCAAGCCCGAGGGCGAGACTAGCATCGTCGAAGGCGACGACGAAGACAAGGAGGACGACGAAGCAGCCACGTACAAGGCGTTCCCGAGTCCACGAGCTGCGAGTAGCCCGAGAGCGGCCCTCGGGCACAAGACGTCCATGTAAGAAAATCACTGCCGCTGTCATTGGGAATCAGCGCGAGGACCAACCAGAGAAAGACCGCCAAGATGCATGACGACGCAAAAGCAATCTGCGTCTCTACACCCTAACTAACCTCACACACTATATAATGGGTTTGGCTGCGAAAGACCTTGCAGAGACCCAAGGGGGCGATACGATCCACAGGTCTCCCTCGATGGTTCGCAGCACTTGCACGACGCCCGCCTGCTGCGGACGACTGTGCGATGGCACTCGTACACGAACACTGGTGGCGAGCGTTGTCGAAGCTTACAGCTTGAAACTAAGATCTTAGATCACTGATCTCAAATGCGATCTCAACCCGTCGACAGCGGCGCCACTCGCGTGTCGAAGTGTCGAGCTAAATGTACAACCTAGTACGAGTTAGCATTGAGCGAATGGACCAGACGGTGCTGACATCGAAGCCAGGTGTGAGGGATCTGCGTGCATGACAGGTGCAGTCGACGAGCAGCCTCGTTGTCTCGGTCTGTGCTAGTCTATGGACTGCGAATGTCAGAGCGATTCCTGCACAGAGCTACTCTAAGATATCGCCGAGCGATGCAGTCTGTACACAAAGACACGACCACATTCTCATTCGATGCAGTGCTTACACAACGCGATGTCAGACGGGTGCCATGGCAGCGTACGTCGTGCGGGGTCATGGGCTCTTCGAGCACAGATTACTTGGTGCTCGATAGAGGTCGACAGCTCGCTTCTACCCAACGCTGTCAGTCCGTTCGGGTTGAAACACTTCTTGTCGACACGACGACAGTTGGCGCGTTTGGCGACGGTGACGCAGTGTCGACCTTGACCTCGACCTTGACCTCCTCGGACTCGTGCTCGGGCTCGTGCGGGCGCCGGTGGTGCATCAAAGTGACCAAGTCGCCTTGAAACGGTGCTGTCTGGCCGCGCCATCGGTTCGCCTTGGCCTTCGAGTTGAACGACAAGACGACATGGCGAGCGTCGTCCGAGACCCACGCCGTGTGGACATCGTCTCGGAGCGCCCGACACAAGTCCGCGGCGGCCGCATCTTTGGCGCGCTTTGGCCGAATGAGCCGGCAGAGCGTCGCGGTGCCCATCGATAGCTGCAGGTTCGCGCCCTGTGGCACGTCAAACTGCACGTGTCCGTAGTTGTAGCGCATGTGCTTCCAAAAGCGGGCGAGCGCCGTGGGCTGTAGGATTTGGTACAGAAACTCTGGCGGGCAGTCGAGGGGCAGCGAGCCGTCGAGCACACACGAGAGGATCTTGGCTTCATACGGCGTCGCGCGCCGCCAGTTGTCAAGGCGCGCAGGCACGGGCACCTTGCAGTACTGGTGCATCTCGAGCAGCGCAGGGTCCGTCGGCACGTCACGATGCTTGATTTTGGGCTCTCGGGCTTTAAGTTCGCGGACTTGATCGATGAATAGAAGCGGTTCTTTCGCGTCGAGTCCTTTCGCCTTGGGCGGGCGTGACGAACGGTGCGGGCCTTTGGGCGTGCACTGCTTGCCCGCGGGCGGGCGCTCGGAGGTGTCCGCCACCGTGTCGCTGCTTCTTGGCTGCTCGGTCGGCGGGTTGCGCTTCTTCTTGCGTCGGCGACGGCGCCCAGTGGTGTCTGGGCGACGCGGCTGCTCGTCGATCGTCACGCTGCCAGCAATCTCACAGCCCATCTGCATACAAGTGCGCGACTTCCGGCGAAATTTGCAAAATGTCACGAGAACCACTTCAACAAAACGAGACTCTTGTACCGTACGTACATCATGGTTTATAAGGCTGGGGTACCGCTCTCCGATCTACTGATCTAAGAGGACAACTAGAGTACCCTTTAGCGCAAAAGTGGTCGCCTATGTGTGCACCATGATCTTTGTGCTGTCGTGAGTGTCATCCGACGGGCAATATGCAAAATGTCATTGCATCTGATGACAGCAACTGTACTACCAATTTACCAAGTTTGTACTACGTTGCTAGACTCGATAGTAGAGTGCACACTGTGCGCTAGCGCACATCGTTGCCTGGGCCAGAATTGCGACGAGCGTTTTTGAGCCGAAACGAACCAAAGTTGTCATGTCCGTCGACGCCAACCCGCTGCTGCCGCTGCAGGTCGCTTTTGCTGCGCTCCTCGAAGCCTCGATCCACCCAGCAATCGACGATGAGCTCGTTTCGTTTGGGACCACCGATCAAGCAGCGCTTCGCCGCGCGGTCGAGTGCCTTCCGCCCGCGGGAGCATCGACCGCACTGCTTGCAACGCTGCAGTTTGTGTGCCACGCTCGCGCGATCCTCTCCGTGTGCAGCAACTACATTGACCAACACGTAGTATCTTGCCATGGCTCCATTGAGTAGCATTCATTGCGTTTGTAGAGTGGACCGCACGAAACCATGGCTCAGCTCGCGCGGCTGCTGCCACCGACAGAGCTAGACCATGGGAGCCGCGACGACGACGGTGACGACGACGCGGACGACGAACTCTTTTTGTCTCCGAGAAATGAGCCTGCAGTGGTGCCATACTGCGCACCACAAGCACCGCCACCTCGAAGCGTCCCACCTTCATGGTTGGATCGATTGCGAGAGCTTTGGAACCCCAACGAGACCGACGAGGCGACGGACGAAGAGATGACGATTACGTCACCGACGACCAACAATGACGACAACGAGACAGCAAATGTCACCAGCGCAACGCCGCCCGTTGCCCTTCCTCTCCACATTACGACGACCATTGCGTCCATGGTCGACGAGTTGTCCAATCTCAAGCTCCAGCTACATGCACTGGAAGCGTTGGTCACCTACATCACCTCAGCATGTACGTACATCATCACCTAGCTTCTTCACTGTCGTGCACTTTTTAGCACATGGGGACAGCGGCGCCTTGTATGCGGACCAGCGGGTGCTGCCGTGTGTACTGCACGCGATGCGAATGCTCGCAAATAGCAAGCGGGCGCAACTGGCGGGTCTCTCGCTCCTCGGCAACCCAAGTTGGAAGCAACATTGCAGCACGCGTCACGACGATTATGATGATGTAGGTTTGGGCGCGCTGCCGGCGCACGCGTCGACTCAAGACTGCCGGCGAAGCATCCTTGGGGCCATGCTGCGCTTCCCCGCACACCCACCGCTGCAAGGTCTGGGGTGCTTGGCCCTTGCCAACTTATGTAAAAATTCAAGCGGTGTCCTCGACACGGTGGCGAAAGGCGGCGTTGACACGGCGATTGCTGCCATGAAGCGCTTTCCGACCGACCCGACAGTACAATCCTCGGGTTGCTGGCTTCTCGCTACGATATGCGCCGTGGACGGTTTGCTTGTGCGTGATGATCCTGTCGTTGATGGTGACGACGCTAGAGGAAATGCAATACGCGGTCTTGGACGCCGGCGGCATGGCAATCGTCGAGACGGCAGCGCGCTCACTGCCCGACGACCCGCGTGTCCATGATCACGCCAAGATGGCCCTTGACGGAATGCTGCAGAAACACCCGAGCCGCGACACGCCGCAGTGCCTTCTCCAATGATAAAACCGCGCAGGTTGCTCGAAGCGGCTTCGCGGGCCTTCGTGGATGCCACGTATGTGCGATACCATTGGTTAAAAATATAATTGTTTTCCACCAATGGCCTTTGAGATTGCGCACAAACCTGTCAATGCGGCCATTCCCGCAAGCATGACCAAGAACAACGTCGGCAAGTACGCGGTCGCGGGCTTCTTGACCCTGACGACGGCCACGATCGGTACGCGAGGCGCGCATTCGTCCGGTCTCTTGACACATGGCGTGTAGGCTTCATTCACGTGTACCTGCCATACTACACAGAGCTCGGGCAGCAAGTGCACGACCGCGCCGCCTTGAACCGCGAGCGCGGTGGGTCGGGCGAGACGTCGCAAGTCTCGGGCTCGATGTGGAAGAACATGCGCCAGCAAGTGCAGAGCCAGAAAGAGTCCAAGTAAAGCGCAATAGACGACCCGCAACTTGATATGCAGCTCGTCGACACTCATGACCATGATGAGCTTTCGGCGCCAATGTGGGTTGCGGCGGGCGTGCCGCTACGCTGTACGTGCAACCTTGGTGACGGTCCAAACAACGATATTCGTATCAACTCCAGCTGCGACTAGAATGCAGCAACTACATGTGTTGGTGTTGGCCAGGAGGAGCTCGGAGAAGGGAAGCCCGACACCACTTGACACTGAACTTGTCAGTTAGATCTGGTGGCTCTATTTGCCAAGCCTATATAGATGCACTGCTGCAAGTCCATTTCCGTCTTCTGCAACGAGCCGGAACAAGCGACAGCAACTACGAGTACATCGAGTGGCGACGGTCCGTTGCGCCAGGGTTCTCGCTGCGTTGGTTGGTCGAGAGTGACGCGAGGCCCGTCACCTTGTTCGGGTGCCATAGGTGGGCCAGCTTTTCGAGCGTCGTATTGGTGGATGTTGCCGTTGTCGGTCCCATCGTCGTTGTTGTCGTGGCGCTCGCGCGGGTTCGAACCGAGTCCCGCCGGCTACGACACTCCCATAAGACCGTATTTCGCTACACACCAAGTACCGATTCAAGCGCGCTTGGACGAGCAAGTCGACCGACATGGTGTCGTGCTGCTCGTGCAAGCGGCTGATGCTGTCGACGCAGAGGATGCTTGTGTCGTTGATCTTCTTGCCCCACTGCGAGTACACGCCGCCAACGTCCAAGTAGAAGAACGGACCGGTCGGCCGGCAGCGCGCTTCGACGCGCTTGGGCGTGCCAAAGAGGACCGACCACATGAAACGTTGCACTTGTTCGGCTGTCACATGCCCCTACCTCCATCTTTGCGTTTTGCATTGGGATACAAAATCATGCTCACCTTGTCCAAGTAACGAAAGAGCAAACTGGACTCGCCGATGATCGCGACGGTTGCCCACGGCGCAATGACGTTCTCGGCCGGCAACACAATGTCATGCAAGAGGTGGTCACCAATATAGCACACTTTGGCCTTCTACTGACCATCATAATCTATACAACGTGGAGAGTGTCGTACCGGGCCCAAGGTGAGCATAAACTCGGTGATGTTGCCGCCGGCGTAGACGTGACCGCGCTCGAGCATCGGTGACGTCAGCGGGAGCAGCGTCTTGGAGCCACCGTGCAAGATTGGCACTTCCTACATTCCGATTTAGTTAGTTAGTGGAGTCAAAACGACAGTCGTTGACGTCGAACCATGAAGCGGTGCGTGTTGAATGCGTCAAAGAAGACGCTCGGCACGCTCTTGGTCACAATAATATCGAAGAAATGGACCCAGTCTTTTCCAATCGAATATTGCAGCACCTAAACACCCAATTATGGATCGTTTTGGGATAGTAGAACTTGAATCGCATATTGTGCGATGAGAAGAAGCACCTACTGCGTTGGTATGTTCCCACGAACTATTGGTGAGAAGGAACATGCGTTTCTTGGCATTGCTACTGATGTGCTCGAGCGTCGTTCGAATGTTGGCGTTATAGCGCAAGAGCGCTTCGGGTGTTGCGAGCAGTGTCGGCTACGTCCACAGTATATTTTGTGAATGCGCCGTGCAATTGCGAGAAAAAGAGGGAGTCGACGCACAAGAAAATCCGCTTCGTAGTACGCCGTCGCTGCGTCAAATGCAATCGCGCTCAAAACACTGTAGGCCGACTAGAATATACAAAACATTTTGAAAATGCAGTCGCAGAACTAGATAATGACGCATCGTACCCGTGGTAAAATAAACTCCATTTCGTGGAGCACTTCGTCTTGGGGACGCACATACCCGATTTCTTCGTCGGTAATCTAGCGTCCTCGTTGTTAGGTATTCCATCCGAGACGATGGTCCGTCTACCGCGCCATGCTCGTAAATGTCAATGAGCCAAGCAAACAGCTGAGGAAAGATCATCTCGGGCACGGTGTGAATGATCATCCAGTCCGTCTCGGTGCGGCGTGGGAGCGGGTACTGCCAATTCAGCTGGTGCATCGGAATCTCCCGCGACCCGTGGTACCCACTGAGGATGTCGCCGTTGCTGCCGAAAAACAAAAAGTTGCCCCGCACCGTGTCGATGGCGAGTCCACGATGGGCCAGGTGCGGCTGCCAGCCGGGAGCGCCATTGGTTTTGAGATTGAGAAAAGCCTACACCACCATAGTATTGCAAATATAAGGAAGAATTTAGCACGCGGTACGGCTTGGATTTTGGTGTACGCGCGCTCAAACGACGTCTTGAGCACATGCTCGGTCTTGAACTCGGCGAGCGTGTGGTCGACGTTGAAGCCGACCCAGTCGTAATGTCGAAACGCAAACTGAAGCGACGGGCGTTGCTAGCCTCGTGGTTCGTTTTGAGCTCAAAGAAGGAACCAACCTCGTGCAAGTACTTGGCCGCGCTGCTGTCGCTTCGGAACGTCATGTGCTTGGCCCGCATCTGGATCGCGTGTTGCGCGTACAAGTGCAGAAAGTGCGATTTGTGCGAGTCGGCGCATTCCTTCCAAAACTCATCGGTCTACAGATAAAAGACAATATTGTCATTCTCGAACAAACATATGGGTATGTACCTGCGCCAATGGTAGCCACGTCTCGGTCGGCTCGTCACAGAGGCTTTGAAAGTCATCAGACGTCACACACGCCGCGATGCGCTCCGTGTGCCGGTGCAAATACGCCTACAAGCGAAAGTTTCAGTACGATCCGATTGCGATAGTTGAAGTCGACAACCATGACGATCGAGACCAGACCGACGCAGCCGTTGACCAAAATGTGGTCCATGACCCGAAGCCGCAGCTGGGCGGGGAACGAAGGACTCAGTGGGAGCAGCAGTAGAGTCGTGAAGCATTCGACGCGCGGGAGCCGCCAGCCCACGAGCTTGGCGTGCACCTTGGCGTTCTATTGGCCAGCTCAAATTGCTCCATAACGAGGAGAGAAGAAGCTACCAGCGTCTGCAGGACCGACTCGAACGTGTCAAAGACGATCGGCGTCGTGTCACCGTACGGCAGAATGCACCGGTCGTTGTGCGGCAGTTGCTCCCGCTACCCCAGGACAGATAGGAAAAACGTGTGGTGACGATGTAGCGTCATACGTGCAGGATAAAGGTGAGGACTTTGATCAAGTCGGAGCGCGCGTGGAGTTCGGGGAGAAGGATACTGCTCATCGCAAGCACCTAGTACGCGCGCACTTCAACACCCAACGCCCACCATTCGGTCCATACAAACGGCGCCAGCGTGGTGTCAATGAGCACGAACTTGGAGTCCTTGAGCTCCGAGACGAGCTCGACCATGTGCTTGTCGTCAAGTAGCGTGGACGGACGTTCTTGGCGAAGTCGGCGGCCGCTGAGCACGGACGCGTCCGGGTTGATGGCCATAGGGGCCACCATGGCTTGCGTCGGCACCGCTGTCGGTCCGCCCGTCGACGCCGAGGCCACGAACGAGATGAAGCCCTACCACCTATACTTCAAGCTGCCGCAAGCGTGATCGAGTTTGACCTGGGACATCTTGGCTTTGGAGCGCGTCTTGAGCTCGGTCGAAATGACGTCCATCCAAAACGCCCGTCGACGCAGCGACGACGGCAAGCCCGAGGCGACCATGGCCGTAAAGTTCTTGACGCTCATGCCGTGCCACGCGACGAGGTCCTCGGTCGCGCTGCCGCGCCGGCCCTTACGCGTCGGCGACGTCGTTGGCGCCATCTTTTGTCGTTTCGCTTGAACCGGCGCCCTGGAATAGGTCCTTTCGACTAACTAGCTGCATCAACGACGACTGAACGGCTCGACGAGGCAAGAGACACCAGGTTGGCGGTGGTCGCACCGGACCCGTCGCCTGAAGCAAGGTCGTCATATCCCTGGCGCAGACGAAGCGCAGACGATCGATGAAGAGAATGAATACAATGTGGATTTAGTATAGTAGAGTATCGAGAGACTTCTATTAATTGCCGAGAAGGTCGTAGTCGTCGAGCTTGTCGTTGTACTTGAGGATCGTGCGCTTGATCTTGGAGCTGTCGACCCACGTGACAAAGTCCTCGAACGACCGCGTGACCATAAAGGCCGGGTCCGTCACCGTCGTGGGCCCGACGCGCACGTGGCCTTGCTCGACAAACGTCGTCGCTTCCTTGATGTTTTCCGACATCTTGAGACGCACCATGACGACGGGCAGGCGCCGCCGGCACATGGCCGAGACGTTGAGCTCTTCGGCCTTGAGGAGGCTCTTGGTACCGTTGATGAGGCCCATCTGATAGAGCTTCTCGAGCAGCGCTTCCGTGGTCTTGATACGGAACGGGTCGTTGGCCGGGCGCTTCTTGAGGCGCGCGACGAGCCGGCCGATCTCGCCGACGACCTTGTTGTACTTGTGGTACTGCTCGCGGTCGGGCAGGCGGTAGCGGCGGATGACCTTGATCTCATGGATGTTGTTCTCGCTGCGCCAGTCGAGCAGGTCGACCTTCTTCAGGAGCTTCTTCTCATGGAACTTGAGCTGGCGCATGCTACTTGGGCTTTTAGTTAGTTCAATCTACTGCGTCATCATAACCAAGCCAACCAATCGTTTCCGAGATGACCTTGCTAATAGCACATAGTGCTTGTAACGAGGTCCAACCAGTGCATACTATTTCCGTGTATTTGAAGTGTCCAATAGTGTTCTTTTTGTCGAGCGGCGATAGGCTATAGGCAGTTGCTAGTATTTCAAGGGTTGAAAGCTGCACCGTGCACTAGCCATGGACCGTGTAGAAAAGAAGAGAGGCTATGGTACCGACTGTATCGCGCGTGCGAGAGTATGGGATGAATGAATGCATTTGGCATTGCGCGTGACTAGAACATACACTATTTATGCGAAGACCGGATACTGCGTATCCGGAGATAGAAGATCGAACTCGCGCGAAAAGGCGCAAGCAGTCAGATATCGACAAGTATGGAGGCGCGCCCGCCCCGCCCCGCACCGCGCAGCATGGACTGGGTCGACAAAGACGTGGCAGAAGAGCGACCGGCAGCTGTCGTGGCGCTACCGCCGGCGCCGGCGCCACGCATTGCGCCGACTGCGGAGCCGTTCGCCGGCCTCGCCCGCAAGCGCATCGTGCCCCGAAGCTTTTCTGAGAATGAGGCCGCGCCGTCCGAAGAGAAGGCGTCGCCGCGCATGACCACGCGAACCAGTGCGAGAAGCTACGACGAGGCAGCAACCTTCTTGCCCAAGGTATCCTTCGTGTCACCAAGAGCACTATCAATGCAATTCTAGTCGCGAGCAACGCTCGTGGAGGAGCTCACGGCCAAGTACATGGGCGAGGCTTCCACGCGCCCGCGAGAGCTGTCACCACCTATGACGTCTGCATCGCTGAGCTTCCACGAAGCGTCTTTGCATCGCGCACCGAGCTACGTGCCACCTTCGCCCATGACCGCATCGTCCATGAGCGACCAGAACGCATCGTACATCGCAACGATCCAGCCGTCGAGTGTGTCCGAGGTTGCCGCGGCTGGTACACTGCTGCATATTCCTCGGCGGCTCATGCGTGGGCATAGACCACGTGGTGCATCGGCTAATGCAAGACGCATACCGGGCCATTGACGAGATGAAGCAGGCCCATCAAGTGCTCTTCAATAGCGACACGGTAACTCTGACCACATGTGATGGAATCTATGAAGTTGACTTTACCGTAGCAACCGCAGCGCTACGACAGCATTCTGGCCGAAGCAGCAGCCACGAGCGTCGAGACTGCGACACGCGCGCTGACTCGGGCCCGCGATCACTTCCGTGACTATTGCTCTGTTGCCACGCAATTTGCACAAGATGACTCGATTGCGTCATCATCTTCCGTCCGCGAGGTTCTTGGCTCGCGTCTGTAGCTCCAATGCCTGATAGACGCATCTAGTTCGCGTATGCACTCGAGGCGAGGTCGCAAGGTGATCGCTACGAGCCGTCGGAGCTACGAGAGTCGCCATCGAAATCAAAGTCAGCTGAGAGCTGGTCGACGTACGTAGCTGGACGAGAAGCGACACGCGAGGCCACGCACTCGTCACCTGAGGCAGCCAAATACTCGAAAGCAGAGGTTTACTATGCTTCGGCTCCGGCCCGTGCGTGGTCACCAAGCTCCGAGCCCGTCGACGCTCGTCCCAGCATTGGCGCGTACCAAAGTCCAGAAACCTTCCAGCCCACATGTATGAGTGCCAGGTCGTTCTTGGACCGTCACCAAGACGAGAACACGGGACGAGGAGGCGAGATGCTGGACAGAAGTCCCACGGCGTTGGACTCTGAGTGGTCGAGTCGCCCACCAGCCAAGAGTTATGAGGTCGACGCATCGTCGCGTTATGCGACGGTGCCAGCACCGTCGCAGCGAAGCTACAGCTTCCAGGAGACCAAGAGCGATCACTACAGCAGTCCTCGTCACGAGAATCTGTCGTTTGCCACAAGAGAGAAGACAGAGCCGACCGAGTACAAGCCAACACTTGCATTTGCCCAGCAGCGTAAGCGTGGTCCTACCCGAATGGGCGCTTGTACATCGCTCTGCGTAGATGCATCTGCAGCGAGCCCTACCCAACCGGTCACAACGCCCGAAGGACGCAACTCGATGTTTGCAGGTACACTTTCATTGGCTAATACGTTGTCGAAACGAGCAAACTGTCATTTTGGCTTAGATTTCGACCGGAAAATGCAGGAAATTCGCATGTCGCTGAGCGCGATTGCGTCGCGCGAGCCGTACACAGGCGGCAACGCGCGCGAAGCGTCGGCACCCGTTGAGACGCCGCAGGCCAACTACCGCGGGTCGTTTGAAGAATACTTAAAAGAGTTCAAGCGCGATCTACACCAGGTATCGTGATATGTTTCAGTGTATCGAGTTGATACCGCAGAGATCGACATCATGTTTGTGCTAGGAACGAGGCTACAGCCAAGAAAGCCCCATCATGGTACGACGTCGCTATCCTACGGGATCTCTATCGAATGGGACGTTCGAATATATTTCTCTGCTTCTAGGACAAGTACAAATCGAGCTCGGATCGACCGTAAGCTCAACTGCGTGGTGGCACCCGATGCAGCCGTGGTTGACAAATGAAATAAGAAATGATATGTATAAACGTCAATGAAGCATTGAGTCAGGACAGCTGTCAGCGTCGCCAGTAACGCCTTCACATTACGATTGCGATCGAGTATTGGACACTTGAGCTTAGAGGCAAAAGGAAAATTGAATTCGATCGACCATTTACAAAGCTAAACCTAAACCCGCTCGTAGACACGATGCATGTTGAACTTCAGCTTGAACTACAAGTTGTCATGGAGAAGAGAACACACGTGCTGGATCGCAGATCCCATGCCGTGACATCGAGCCACACGAGAAATGGAAGTTTCGGTAAATAGAACGTGCTGAGTGGGTGACTTCATCGGTGGCTGAACCTGCGGTGTGCAGGTCTTGCACTCGGTCGATTTTGGCGCCGCCGTACTGGATTCGAGCCGTCGACCACCAAAAGCATCTTTCGAAAGCAATGCCAAAGTTGCGTCGCATTGGTCGCGAGATCAAAGGAGAAACCGCCACGTCATAAAGCCAGCGTATGGTGGATTTTACGTCTGTCACTACGCAACATGGCTACCGGTAAATACCCACAAAACACGTAAAATCGCATACCAGCGGATTGGCCTAGCGGGAAAGCCGCGCAATTGCAG